ACTGAGTGATTTGAGGTCGAATGCTTGAGCACATCCTGTTGTCCGTGGCAAAGCTGTAAACCACTAATTGTTGTGTCAAGGTTTTTGTCAAGCAGGCACTAGGCACAACAATAACACCGGCTGATGGTGAGAGGATCTTTTCCTTATGTGTGAGTGTGTGTGTGTGGTCATCTACTGACGATTAAAAACGGTGAAATTAATTTTAAAAAAAAGTATTTCAAATTGCTAAATAAAAATAAGGACGGTGTAATATCTGAAATGTCCATGGGAGAAAGGAGCACAATGTTTCTTTGCACTAGAGGAAGCAGTGGCATGCACTTGCATACAAAGGGGAACAAGTGGTCTTTACATGGAGTGCAGCTGCTTATTAAGACTCACTCCTTCATGCATTATTCCTTTCATTCCCACTCAACCACAAAGTGATTTTACTTCAGCATTCAAAAAAACAGCAAAAGATTTGTAATGGGCAAATCCTGAATAAAGGTTGCAGATCAGTTGCTTCCCTAGCAGTTATAATACAATACACACATTTTATGTAAAAAGACTATTCTCTCAACCCCCATAATAGTGAAATGAGCACACATAAATGTGTTAAGAGTATCTCTTTGCATCTTGTATAGACTGCATGTATTTAATCTGTAAATCTTATTAAGGCTTCGGTCATTGCTATGCAAAGCAGCACCCAGTGCTTTTCTCTCGCTTTTCATCCAAGTGCAGTGTTTGGCCAATGGGACTGGCCCCCCGCCTCCCATTCTGCATTCATAACATGCAACATTTGCACATTGTATCTCTCAAAGGCCCTGAATAGAAGGCCTTAATACTCATGTAAACAACTGCAAACCAATTACTTAATGAATCAGGCCCACACATAATGAGGAGCCTCACAAAGAGTTATAAATGATTTTTTTTTTTTTTTGCACTAAAGCCTCTGCTTTAAACTACAATCCCCTCTGCTGTAGTCTAAGCTTAACAGACAAATCATAATTATTGTCTAAGACAACACAGGGGAGGACATTTTTGTATTTGGAGTCCAGCTTCATCCGCTTATTGATGTCCCTCATCAGCTCACTGACAAAAAAAAATTAAGCAAATAATGTAAAAGGGGGAGGGAGTTAGCAAAGAGGGAAACAAAATGCTGAAGGAAGGAGTAAGAGGGGCAAAGAGATGGAAAAAGGGCAAAGTGTGACAAAGTGAAACAGAGAGAAGCTGGCAGGGCATCCTGCAGTGTTTTGCTTCTGATTGAGTGCAGGGCTTCTGGACCACTTGTGGGTGCATTTAAGTGCAAGAAGTGACTGTAATAAGTGGGCTGCTTGAAACTGACATCCAGGAGAAGATGAGAAAAGAAAACTTGCGACCAAAAGGTAAATTTAGGGTGACTATACCACTTATTAGCATTGTTGCTAACCATAGAAAGATGAACATGGATGAATCACCATTTAATCAGTGGAATTTATGTTTATAATCCAAATCATTACAGTTTTGTCGCAATTCCTTTTTTGTTGTTGTTCTGAGAGTTGTGTAGAGTCACATATATTTTGGGCTTCCAAAGCAAATTAATGACATGGAGACAGGCAACATCTGAGAGGGTCTGGGTCTGAAATTGGCTCATGTTTATTAAAGAGGATGGTCCACGCACTGTGGCTGGCAGAGGCAGGCATCGGCAGCTATATGAGGACCACAATAGAGTCAGCCCATTAGCCCTTTCCTGGGCTAATAGGCAGACTGCAGCGCCTGCTTGCCAGGCCGGCGACATACAGCCTTCAGCCCTCGGATCAACGTGCTGCCCAGTAATCACATGAAATCAGAGAAGATTATTCCTCATAACGTTTATGCAGCCATTACATGAGCCCAAATGGGTTTTGTGGCGAAGAGGTGCTCTGAGGACCTGGTAGTCAATTGCAGATTTGATGAAGTTGTGTTGATATTCAAATGTAAGCACAATGCCGTTATCTTCTATGAGGCTGTTTATCATTAAATGTTCTTGAACCAGTCCACTTAGGGCTCTGATTTCAGCTGCTTCAATGCATTCGATGGTGAAAAATGAAAGGATGCTCGTCTTTGTCAACACATCTTTGAAAGTAGTTGCCCTTCATCCTTCTTCTTGACAAACAGTTTGTATTCTTGCAGCAAGCCCAAAGGCAGTGACATTGTGACACAGATTTAGCATTGGGGCTGTTGTTTTGGTTTGGATTTCTAAAATGGGTTTTGAACCTGTCAACACCGTGGGGGAGGGGGGGGGGCTTCAGGGGCCTTTTGTCTTTGTGAGCAAGTTAATGGGTGATGCCCCTTGATCTTATGGAAATGAACAGGGAATTATTAGAGTGACCATGCAAATGTACATCAGCCACTTGGGTGTCTGGTGGCCCATTTCCTGTGGTCTGTTGAATAACAACAATAGTGGCTTTAAGACTGCAGGAACCAATTCCAGAACTTCTCTATGTAGCCTGGTAGTTTGTGTTATCCCTTTCTCCGCACACAAAAAGGATACCTGGTCTGAGAGGTTCCATTATGATCATCCTTAGTACCGACAAGACACTTGGGTCTTCAGGTGCAGGACTGACCTGGAACGCTTTGGGGGTAGGGGGTAGGCTGTGCTGATGGACGCTGATTGGTTGGTTGAACGCTGATTGGCTGAGTGTACCAACTACTAACTGCTCGTGTACAGTATTCACCAGTTGTGCAAGCTTCTCTTGTCGAAATATTAAAGAATGACAAAAAAGTGAATGGAAAGGTGAGCAGAAGTAGAGGTGCAGGCTCTTCTGAGCATTTTGGGGGGACGAAGACATTCAGAAAAAATTTAAATCAGCGACAAGGCCTGACCATGTTTACCACCTTATTACTGCCGAGCTAGACAAGCAACATCGCTCTCGCAGCAAAGCAAGCCCGTGGAAGCTGCAAAGTTAAAGACTACATTAAAACAGCCGTAATGGAAATGAGTGCCGAGTGAACAAATGGTGATGCTAACTCGACGGCCACAAGAGCAAAGACGTAGGTACCATATTTTCCGCACTTGTAAGGCGCTTCAAAGTATAAGGCGCACCTTCAGTGAATGGCTTATTTTAAAATTGTTTTCATATAAAGGGTACACTGAATTATAAGACGCATAGAATAGAAGCTACAATAGTGGCTGAGGTTGCGTTTGCATCCACTAGATGGAGCTATGCTAAAGGGAATACAATATAATACAGCTTTATTTATATAGCGCTTTCACAACTGCTGCAGCTGTAACAAAGCGCTTTACAGAACATCTAAAATACAACGTCCAAGAAATCAGTATATTGATCCATGCATAAGGCGCATCGGATTATAAGGCAAATTGACTTTAGGGGGTGCACAGTAAAGACAGTATATTGAATATCAGGTGTGAATTTGCCCGAAAGTAGACACTTGGACCATAATGTTCAATCGCGGTAATGCATGTTGATCACGTCGCCGTCTCCCCTTTCGTGCGCACTGCTCAGTGTGACGGAAATACCTTAATACTAAGCCCGCATCACCGCACTGTGTGCAAAACTTGTTGCACACCGTTTTGCAAAGCCTCCACTACTAACGAGAAGTGTCTGGATAACTCAAGGCAAAAGTTCGCTTTGGGCTGCAGGTGGGCAACAGGTGGATGCTAGCTAAGCTAAAAGCTGTGATGGATAGACCCTCCCACTCCCTCTAGGCCACCCTGACAGCACTGGGCAGCTCCTTCAGGCAGAGACTGATACACCCGCGCTGCAAGAAGGAGAGGTACCACCACTCGTTCCTGCTGACTGCTGTCAGGCTATTGAATAGAAGGTCCTGAAAAGCTGGACTCACCCCAACTCACCCATTTTTAATATGCTTTTATTTATATTTTATATTTATCGTTATTTATATACTTTTTGTCTTCTACTTTCTCTCTTTCATAATTTCGCTGCTGTATATTGGGAATTTCTCTATTGTGAGACAAAGGTTTTATCTTAAAGTTCTTTCGCTTTAAGGTCTGAAAACCCACAGCTCTAGTGTGCACATGGAGATTGGTTATCCAAATGTAAAGTGTGTGATAAATAAAACCTATTATTATTATTGTTCTTACCAAGGATAAGGTCCTTGAGGTGAGGAGCAATTGGACCTCTCAGGGCGATCATTTTTTACTGAAAAGAGCAAACAAGACCAGATACAATAACTTCATTTGGATATACTCCATACGATTTTCCTTGAGAAACTTTGAATTAAATCCACCAGAATTCAATGACGATAGTTTGTGGAGAAGTGGCTCACCAATGCTCAGGTTGTAGTCCTTTCACAGATATGTAACAGGGAAGTGTACAAAAACATGGCACTATATTATTTAACTGAACCATTGAGCATCAGTGAGGAGCAATACAATTTAAATAGTCCTGTTGCATCGCATACATTTGTAAATTCATTGCATAAGTTTTTCCCTTTCACCTAAAATGGTCAGAGGTTAGGCTGGGTCATTTTTTAAACAGTTCGTTTAAAAAAGCATAAGGATTTTCAAGAAATTAAAATTAGCTTCAAATTTGGATGTGATTAATTATGGTGAGTTTGTTGTGGTACAAAAAACATGCTATTTTGTCATGAAAACAGAGTGTCCCAGTTCTTTGCTACTGTGGATCACATTCCTTACCTGAGGGTTCATCCTCCTCTGCCTCCACTTCCACCGCCTCTTCAGAACTCGGCAGGTCTTCTTGCATGGCTAATCGCTTAAGTAACTGATAGGCTTTTGTCTCTGTTCACACACACACACACACACACACACACACACACACACACACACACACACACACACACACACACACACACACACACACACACACACACACACACACACAAATATTTGCTTAAAAGCCAGGTTTCCTCCTTTCAGGTTTCTGTATTTGATAAGCCAACATGCTTCAGGAGTCGAGTCTTAAAATCTCACTTGAATGAGTCGGCGAATACACCAGTTTAACTGTTGATTCAAGGAAAAAGTAGTAATCTCAGTGGCTCCACAAGATGGACATCAGCAGTCATGTTTTTTTTCTGCAACCTCTACCAGGAAGGTAATGGCTAACTTGCAAGTTTGTAAAATTCATGATAAAATTTTCGGTGCACAAAATACAGAGGATATTAAAATTCTCCACATCCCTGTAGTATATAGTATTTAGTAATCTTGCATGAGTAAAATTCTCACATGAACTCATTTTGATGGCTATGCACCATAGGGGTTCTCACACATGAAAACACTCAGTGGGAAATCTGGTCACCGAGGGAAGTATCAGCTCACTTCACATTTCAGAGCAGCAAAGGGATGGGCAAACCAACTGCTGCAGGATGCCCCCACAGCTGGTAATCTTCAAGTGCAGCCGCCTTGCCACACCATTTTTAGATGGATAATGAGTACCTGTGACAGATCTCTTGCACTAACCACTGTTAGCCGGACAATTAAAGCAGAGTACATTATTCTGAGTTTTCCAGCATGTCTCAGCCTGGGACGAAGACATGGCTAGTATTTTGTACGAGCTAATTAGAGAGAACTAGCATCGCTCTTCAGGTGCGACTTTGACCCTGGTTTCGCCTTGATCATGTTGCCACCGCCACTGCGTAAAAGGGCCTATTATTCACTGCAGTAGGAAGCAAACAAACCACCACATAAGGAAAGTGTGAATACTAGGACACAGGCGATGCCTTTTTACCTCTAATAGGAACACTTTCCACAGGGCTTTCGTCGTGGCTCTCCTCCTCAGCACTTTGTAGTTCTGTAAGGAATGGAAGTCCATAGAGAGATGCATCGGGAGTGGGGGAGTGAAATGGGAATGCAAGGTCTTTATTTAGCTCTGAATAGAATAAAGACCTGTATGAAAACCAGGCAGCGAAGGATTCATAATAAAAGGCTCAATGGTGAAATTGATTTCTTTCAGAAAAAAAATAGAAACTTTTAGTGCTCTGCGGTGGTAATTTTCAATATAGAGAAGCAGCAAAACTTCCACTAATAATCTACATTGCAGTAAAATGACAGGTTTACTGATGAGTAAATGGGAGAATAGGTCATCGTATGAAGCCGATAGTAAGTTGCTTTAATTGGGAAATAACAAAGTTCTCATCTTTTAGTGAATTTTTTTAGTCACATACATGTGACAAAACCAACTCGAATCACTTTTCCTGACCTTGGATCTGTTGCTTTTGGATCCCACTGGCACGCTTCACATCTCCATCATGAGCTAGGAATGAAGGAGGGCCAGAAGAACAAGTAGAGTCACTCTTCTCATCTGCTGAGGGCCACTCCTCACTGGACCGGGAAAGCTGTGTCTTCAGTAGCACTTTGGCCTGTGAGCAGCACAAATTAAAACCAAACCATTAATTGTTCCCATTCAGTGAAGGAAGTGTTAAATTAAACTCAGTCCGATTAGGCATTTCATTTACTTGGGCCACGGCTGCTCGCACAGAGGTGCAGCTGCAGTTTGTGTATAATTAACACCAAGAGGAAATAATGTCAAAATCTCTCACCCGTTTAAACAGAAAGATTATTTTGCTCACTTTTGTTTCCACTCTCCCACTCTATCACATTTTTTTTAATTCGCACACCCTCTTCCTATCAGTGAGATTAGTCAAACACCCAAAGAATGCAATCATCCTGGTGTTAATGTGCAACACGTTTCGCATATCTCGCCTCTTGGCTGAGAGCATTGAGACAAACTGCTTTTCCTCCCTCTCCAGATCAGATTTTTATAATCTCTGGGGGCATGAGGGCACACAGTGATTTCCCTCCTCACCACCGTTTCTCTTTTGTCATCAAAAGACATCACCATTTGCTACTTTTTAATGAGCACGAATGTGGAGCAAGGATAAGGATAACGAACAAGATAATTTCCACCATGACGAACCAAGAGTACATTGTTAATTCTTATCAGCGGGGAGATTGACAAATGTACATTCTCTCATTTTCTGAAGAGCCACAAACCGGTTTGCCACTTGGTAATTGATGTTACTGGAGAAAAAAAAACTTGATACAGCATGTCCCTGATACAGTATCAGACTTTGTTCCTTTTCTACTCAGATTTTGTTAAATGTACTGTGGGCCAAGGGCTGTTACAGACCCGCGGCATTTTAAACAAATGATTTCAACAGTTAGCACTTGAATATTCAAAGAGCTTCTTGAGTGTGTACATGCGAGCTACAGGCTCCCGTTTTCCAGAGTGGCTGTGCTGTGTCCTAAGAAGAGAATGGAAAATAGTAGTTGCTGTCATTTGTGCAGTTGTAAAAGGAGCAAGAGCCCAAACATGGGGGGATAAAAATGGAGGGAGTGCGTAAAGTAAGAGATAAAACAGGAGGAACATTTTTACTCTGCCTTTCATTTACACACTGGTATACAATGAAGACGGACGGCAGTGTCCTTTACGTTTGTTGGTTCATATTTTCAAGTAGCTCTACAGGTTCCTTCTTTGCCTCTTCTCATTGTGTCCAAGGTACTGAAGTGACATCTTCATCCCATATGGACCTCAGTCATGTTGTGTACAAAACTCACTCACAAAAGGCAGACATGTATACAGTACATAAAAGACTTCCACAGGATAAAAAAGGTACATTTAATGGAAATTGTGGGACTGGAATTCTATCAAACCAACTGTGTGGATATCAATACTTATTGTTGTTTGTCTTTCAGACATGGAACAATTTTTGCTAACTTGAATGCTGTTTCAGACCTGGATGCACGGACCGTGACAATGCATCCTTATGTAGTAGTCAATAAATGGATTTAAAAAAAAAATAGGATCATGACAAAAGGTGTGTAATGAAACCTAACTAAAATCCAGTCTAATAATTGTGGCGTTGAAATTTTAAATTTTGGCTGACATAAAGAAAGCCCAATGGAAATTGAATGTGCATGATGAGAACAGTCAATGACATTAAAATGAAAAATTGGTCCTTCCATGAATCTGGACCAGCTGGCTGTTTCACTTTTGGGAAAGATATCAAATGAAGAAAAATCAATAAATAAATACATACAATGAGCGCTTGTCAGTTGAATATGCTGTATGAAATGAAAGAAGACAAGCAGAGGGTGCAATTCGCTATTAACACATGGGTCAGGGTTTCCCTTTGGTCTGGGTCAATGTGTGGAGCAATCTGAGGAGGAGGCAGCCAGGCTTTGGCATCAAACACCAGACACAAAGAGGGCTCCCTTCCAACAGCGCTAAACACGCAAATAAATTCCGTATGCATGCACACACACAGCTATTTGCAATGTTGTGTGGCCCACGTTCTTTGTGTCGACCGCCACTTCAACTGTAGCTCGAATGATGCAAATCACATAGCTATCACTAGGGTGGTTAGAGAGTTAGTATGTCACTACAGATTGCAGAAAACCTCAAGTAGAATCAAATAGAACTCCAAGTAGTATCAAAAATGTTATTTCTTAAGCTGTTGGGACCGACCCCTATGCTAGGTGTATTTGATAACCCACACTTAAAAGTTTGCTTTTAAATTTCTTCTCTCAACAGAAGTCAAACAGTACATGCTAGAATTTTACAGGAACATACAATGCTGTTAAATTAAGCTTTTGGTTCTTCTTGGCTTTATTGCTTCATAATAAAGATCCATCCATCCACTCTCAACCCCACTGACCCTGAAAAGGGTCGCGGGGGTTGTTGGAGCCTATCCCAGCTGACTTTGGACGAAAGGCGGACAAACCCCTGAACTCATCGCCAGTCAGTCACAGGGCACATGTAGAGACGAAAAACCATACACACCCACATTCACACCATCACTGAGTGGGAACTGATCCCATGCTGCCCACACACAAGTGAGGCGAGTGCACCACTACACCATAAGTGACTTTTAGTCATAAAGATGTTCCTGTATTTTCAAATCATGTGAGACATCAGACTTGAGGGTCAAGGATGGGTTGTTAAGCAAAGGTTGAAGAACAGCATTCTAAAAATCTGCAGGCACAGCACCAGTGGAGAGCAATAGGTTAATAATATTCAAGATGGAAGGTCCAACAATTGGAATTTCCCATGAAGATGTCACCCTGAACAGGTTGCCAGCCAATCGCAGGGCACACAGAGACCAACAACCATCTGCGCTCACACTCACACCTAGGGACAATTTTGGAGTGTTCAATCAGCCTGCCATGCATGTTTTACAATATGGGAGGAAACCGGAGTACCCTGGGAAAACCCATGCAGGCCCAGGGAGAACATGAAACCTCCACACAGGTAGGCCGCACCCGGGATCGAACCCACAACTCCCACTGTACTATATTCAGAAAAAAATGCCGAATGACTTTGACGTTTTGGACAGCCATGTTCAAATAATTGGTTGATTCTGAATGGTTCCCGGCGCAATGTCGACCAATGACTGGTTCCCGGCGCAATGTCGACCAATGACAGCACGAGTGGATTTATCCCGTGAGCTGAATGGCTGCGCATCTTCGCAGCCCGGCCCAGCACCTTACATTGTGCCTCGTCATGTGTTTGACTCTCTGATCAGTGTCTCATCACATGGTTGTGTTTGCTATGTGTGCGGAGGGGGCAAAAGTGAAAGGGAGCACGAGAGAGAGAGAGAGAGAGAGAGAGAGAGAGAGAGAGAGAGAGAGAGAGAGAGAGA